TTCTACTCCCTTAACTTGTCAGTACAGTGCCGAGGTTAAGTACTTAAAAATTACTAATTGACTTGTCCTACTCTTTATTCCTGAAAATCTGTCAGGGTCCTGCCCAGTCCAGATGATAAGGGTGAGTGTGTGTTTGCTGGGAGACACTGCAGGGAGGGGAACTGAAAACCTTGAAATAAGAATGAGGTTCTCTGGCATCCATAATCTGACAATAGTGTGATTCTGTAACCAACCTAAAAGTTGGCGAAAATCTCAGGTAGGCCTGAGGATCTGATTTGGTTCCTAAATCTCCGGTCACTATGGCCTCATCCTATCATGGTTCCATAAAAGTCCCTTACTGGCATGACAGATTTATAGAGCTGCTTGGTTTAGAACCTATAATCATCTTTGGCCAATCCCTTTCCAGGTTGGTCCAGGACAAGGCTAGCCTCTGGGAGATATTGGATGGGAAGAGTTCTTTCTAGACTATTCTTTTATGGCATGTGGCATTTTTTCAGGTCCTGCATCAAAATGGTTAAACTTCTATCAGTTATGTAATACACAATAAACACTGGTAAGAAGTCAGTACAGGATGCTTGTAAGCCTGTCCCAAGGCTTTTTTTTACTACTAGCATCTTCCAGAAGTCATTTCATTGTTACGATCTGGGTAATGACGGCAGTTTTCTGACAAAAAAGAGTCATGATTTGGATACATGGCACCTTTGTAAAAATCTCCTAATAGGTTAAAAAAAAAATGATGATGATGGTGATGATGATGATGCATAAGGAAATGAAAGAAATGGGAAAGGTCATTATGTAAATTTATGCAGTGAGATGTTCTCTAGTTCTTGGAATTGCTGAGATGAACCCTGCCATGGACATCCTGCAGTTCTACAAAGGTATGGCGAGCACCACGGGGCAGCCCAAGGTCAACCCATAAATGCAAACAGGAGCTAAGGTGGTACTGCTTGATGAGAACCAGTTAGTCTTCTAGAACAAGGCAAATGGGCAATGAAGGACAGGAATAGCTGAAAGGCATGAAGCTTTGGGAAAACTGACCCACTTCTACAGAAAGACAACCAGTGATGACAAAATAAACCATTTTGGAGGATCAGATAGAAATGCTTTTAGAATTAATGCTAAATGAAGTTTTCTCACGGAAAGTTCCAAGACAGTGGTTCTCAAAGTTGAACAAACACCAGAATCACAAAGAGGGGTGCTAAAACATAAATCGGTAAGGCCCTACCCCAGAATTTCTGATGCATTAAGTTTAAGAAAACTGATATTTGTAGCAAGTTTGCAGGTGATGCTGATGCCCCCGTCTGGGGACCACACTTTGAGAAGCACTGTTCTAAGGTACACTACATGAAATTGCTGGCCTGTGAATTTTAGGATCCCAGGAATATGACTTAAAGAAGTGGCTGAAAAACAAAAGTCCTCATCACCTCATTTCTCCTCCCAAAGTAAACAAATCAACAAAATGAACCAAAATATTAAACTAAAAAATTTCAATAACAAATAATACTATACCGAAACTCTTCTGTTAAGAGATATTTAAGGGTGAATCATCTGTGAGCAATGGCGAACCCATAACGTGTTTCCCTAGAGACGAGTCCTTGACAACAGTATGTCTCCTGTCAAATTATTTAACAGAAGCCTAGGCATCAGCATGCTATCATTCCTGCATTTTCACCTATAGCGTTATCATGATGCAGCCTGCCAAAGTCCATGTCTTAAGCACCAAAACATATACAAGCTGCTGAAGATTCTGCTGAGATGAGGTGAGAGTAGAGTAATTCTGTAAATGTTTCCCTTCCCTCCAACCTTTCATATCGCAGGAGGCCTCTCCTGGGGCCTGGGGTATGGGGAGTCGGACTAGACCCACTGTCAGTGCTCCAGCTTATAAAGTCCACACCAGATAAAAGGCCCTCTGTACAAACTACAGACACGTCAGCTGGGTAAGGAGGTAAACAGAGCAGCCTATGGCAAACTCCAGTGGATGGTCTGTGCATCTGTGCTAGAAATAAGAGAAGTCTTTAGGAATCAGAGATGAAAATATTTTTATAAAGAGATTTTATTACATAATTTCTGTATACAATAGACATAGGAAAAGGGTTTATAATGAAAATTCCATGTCATTTTTCAAAAGTTTTGAATTGCTTGGAGAAATATTCTTACAAAGCTATCTAAGGCAAAAGTAGTATTTGACCTTCAGAACAAATGCTAATCCCTTTCATCATATTTCATATTTAAAGCAAGGCATTTTCAATTCAATTAACATGGAGAGGCTTTCAAATCACTATGTCATTTACATTAAGAGTTTAAATTCGTCTATAAAGTGAAAAGTTTAAACACATAGAAATGTTCTCTAATACAATATGTACTGTTGCTTTCTTCAGATCCATTCCACATGAGTGTATGGACGTACTTTCTTACACACCAGCAAAGAAACCTGCGTCTCCTAACGGCACAGTGAGGGCTGGAGTGCAGAGAGGGAAAGTCCCATGTGTTTCCCATGTTAAATGGCATAACTCCCACAGATCACATACACCTCGCCATATTGACTCAGTTCATTGCACTCCATATCCTGCAAAAATAAATCTAGTGCTCGACAGCTGACATTATTGCTCACTTACGTTTTAGTAATATATTTCTTTAACATAAGACAGAAATATACTGAAATTCGATACCACTTAAACTCAAAAGCAATCTGAAATTAAACCACATGATGCATACACCCACTTTCTTTTTGCCATGGATGTTGCATTTTTCTTAAAGTTGGTGCTGGAAAATGTGGTAGAAGAAAAACTGGCTTTCCTTGAACGAAGACTAAGCGTTAGAAGAGGAGCGTTCTGAGGGGAATGTTAAGCCCCACAATAAAACTGGAGGAACAGTGAGAATCCAGAGTCTCTGGGGAGAGGGAGAAGCCCCCGTTTAGCTTCCTTGTCTACCCCAACACTGTAGCTCGTGTCCAGCAGACCCCACAGCAGGCCACCGCCTAGAGCAGGAGCCACGTGAGCCCCCGAAGGATGGACCGCACACTGGGACAGGAATGTCCTGGGAGACCCACTTCTTTAGGGGTCCTTGGGTCGCTGGGAAATGTTGGGACTCCTTTGGTGAGGTCGGGAAAGACTTCTAGGATAGTCTGGACACCGAGGCTGCAAGGGTCTTAAATTCAACGTCTCACTTCTAGAGGGGAGTGAAACCTGCGAATTCCGAGTGACCCCGGGGCCTGAGGTGACACATCTGGGAGCCGAGGGAAAAAGAGCATAGTGCATCTGGAATCTCAAAGTTGTGGCCCACATGACAATGAAGAGCCTCACCAGGAGGTGTTTTGAGAGACACAGAAGGATGTGGACGTGACCATGCTGACATCGATTGATCACAACTTTTCATTTTAGTTTCTCATTATTTCTTTAAGATTGTCAGGTGTTCCTCTTTCTTATTTTGGTCTTGGTGCTTATAAGGAAAGATGTCAGTATTCATAAGCTATCAAAGATTTACAAAAAAGTTATTTTTTAAAAATTACACTTCAGGATTAGCATTCAAGGCTACAAACACAATGTATATCAGTCATAAACCAAACTTTCACGCCTGGCGGCCGCAAGACCAATACACATCACCACTGCTCAGAGCTGTAGAAACCTTACGGTGCACAATCCCACCGTATGGATGGTGGGACATCCATCCCACCAGACTAAATGTTATACGGCAACTGAGCGGAGCTTCTTAGAGTAAAACCAGCCATACTGCTACAGAGAAAAATTTCTGGCTCTTGGCCCAACTGTTTCCATACCAATCAGCTAAGTCACCCTCCTCTCTGCTTCTTTCCATTTCAAATGCCTGGGCTTCGGCCTTTGAGGCAATTAGAACCAGATCAGTTTAAATTTACAACACTGATCTTCATTGTATAGCAATATAGTAATTTTCCCCTGAGAGCGTCAATTATTTTGCAAATATTCTAAGTCGTGTTTATACATAAAGAATAGGCATGGAGAGGCTAGACAGCTTGTCCCTCGTCACACAGCAGATTAGTGTCAAGGGTGGGATGTGAGCTCCTGGCTGTTTCTATTTTAAGCCCCGATGTCCTTCCAGAGGTCACCTTGCCCTGTGCACAGGTCCCCCCGTCTCCCGTCTGGGCTCCGTTCCTTACTTGCTCTTCAGAGCACTGGGCATCTAGTACCCAGGCTTTCTCCTCAACCTTCTCTGCTCTCTCTTACTTCTGCTGCCTTGATGAAGTGTGCTGTCCCCAGTATTTTATTTTACACAGGGAATTCACCAAAATGCCCTTCCAGCCACGGCTGGTATGAGGTGTGGAGGGACAGACTTAACAGAAGGCAATGGCAGGTGCTCTTCTTTGTGAATTTTGGACAAAACAGGGATCAGCATTTTACAGTTATCTTACATTCCAATGTTTTCAACGGAAAATAAAAATAAAGGCCTAACCATGAGGTATTGTTTGTTTCTCTGCCACAACACTCAGTGTGCCCCCTCAGATCTGGCAACAATTTAACATAAGGAAAGACTTTAGACCTTCACACCCTTTTCGGGAGAATAAAGGACCTCAGCCCAAACTTTCCACAAAGCTGAGAAGTCTCACAAGACATCGCTCCACCCTTACCTTAGGTGGATCTGCACAAATGCCTCCAGGCCGTGTGTCTCGCAGGTCTCAACACCCTGCCCCACCGAGCCCTGGTCTCCGCACTGCAGAGGAGGTCTTGATTTTCACGTCTGAAGACCAAGCACCTTCTAACTATTAAGCAAGGAGGAAAAAAAAAATCGAAAGAAGCTACGTAGGCGAAGAAAGTAAAGAGAGTAAAAAGCCAAATGCTGTGTCAGTGGCTTGTGACGAAGTTTCACAGAGCTACCTCCGAGGCCCACGAGAGTTACAGACAGTTCCGACCTAGTCAATAGCAAAATGCGCTTGGCCAGGGCCTCTGCTTAAGCAAAAGAAGAAAAATATCAATAGCATAAAATTGCTCTTCTATTTTTGAAAAAATATATCTGAGATAGACGCTCTCGAGTTAGTTTTAATAAGCTGTGCATTAAGTACACTTGTTTCCATCAACTCCTTTACAGCTCTGTCTTGTCGCCCTGGGCCGGGCTGCCCCCTGCGCTGTCCCCACTGGCGTCGCTGATCTCCGCAGGTGTGAAAGACAAGGACGCAGAGTTTATGCAGTATCTCTTGCCAGTTGGACGAGGTCCGTCGTCAAAAATGTGCCCGAGGTGAGCACCGCACTGCAAGAGAAGGGCAAAGTGTAAGTCAACAGCGTCTACAAAGCCGGCTTTGAGGGGAGCAGCAGTTTAAGTGGATGACCAGCCTATAGAGAAATGATGGAAGCCATCACGGATGATTTCTAATCCGCCTGTCAATAGCTGCAAAGATGGTTTCTGGCAGGTTTTGCACCACATGCTGAGAATAAAAAGCACTAGAATTGTGCATATCAGAAATCATTTAGGAGCCACTGTATCTTCTGATCTGTGAAGCCACTCAGCTAGCTGAAAAATGACTGCAGTAGTTTTATGAATTGAGTTGACCCTTGATCTGGACCTCTGGCACTGCTTTTGGCTTTGGATGGGTGGCTTTCAGATATGCAGAAGTCCACTGTAAAAGGTACTGTTTAACTGGCCATGACGGAGGTGACGTTTGCTTTCATGGGCAGTAAAACTTAACATCAGACGAGCATTGGATGTTCTTGGAACCCAGCAAAGCAATAGCGAGACTCAACAGATTTATGTCACGGTCACCAAGACTGCAGTGGGGCAAATGGAAACGTCACTAGTCCACGCAATCGGTTTTTCTGGCCTCCAACAGGTGGAGTGCCATGCGCACTGCCTTACCTGCACAAACTGGGTCATGTGGAGAAGGGATAAGCTGTCGAGCTCATTCCATGTTACTGACTATCCAAAAAGCTGGGGAAGGAGAGGCAGAGAGTCCAGACAGAGGCAGAAGGAGGGATGGTTGGTTATGACGGTGTTAAGAGAAATCCAGCCCAGAGAAAGCGTCTCCAAAAAGCCCGGCTCACTGAACAGAGCCTGCACTAACCAGTCTGCTGCTGGATTCGGCTCCAGGACATAAGGGCACAGGCCACATTTACCTGTCCCCCACCCTCCTCAGCAGGGATGGGGCTGAAGGGTATGGGGACGTGAGTACTCCACATTCGAACAGGCTGCAAAACACATCGTTCGTCACGTAACAAAGAAACCAAAGCCTGGGGCAAATGACCCCCGTTCATTCATTTCACAAATATTTATGGAGCGTCTGCTACATGCCAGGCACTGTCCCAGACTCTGGAGGTACAGGCAGTAGCCTCATGGAGCTTACATTCCAGTGGCGGAGACAGACAATAACAAAGGAAATAAGAGACTGTAAAGCACAGTAGACGGAAATAAATGCTAAGGAGCAAAACAAAAACGAAAATGAAAAGCAGAAAGTGACACAGATTGTCAGGTTGGGGGCTGACATTTTAGGTAAGGTGGCCAGGGGTGGTTTTTCCGGGCTGGCTTTGGGATAAGAACCTGGAGGAAGTGAAGGAGCGGATATCCGGGGAGAGCATCTCAAGCAGATGGAGGAGTCAAGACTTAGGCAAGAACGTGAGAGAAGAGACACACAGATGGTTTATTAATTCTTCTCACTGAGCTCGTTTGGTGTATAAAACACTTACACATTGCAAGGAAGGAAAATAGGAGACGATGAGAGAGAAGTAAGGGATGGTGCTCATTACAGTGGAAAGAACCAGAATCTCAGTTTCCCCATAGAAAGTACTAAATTCAATTTTCGAGGGTTCTCTAGTTATTAATGACTAGCACAAATAGCAACTTCAACTATAGGGCACTTCCATGGTAAAAGTGCATTCTTATTTTACTGCCAACATACTGTGTCAGCTTATTAAAGAACTAAAAATGAACCCTGAACTGATTTGATCTGTTGCCTGGAAAATATGAAACAGGCCTAAAAAACAAATCTTGCATTATTTTACCACATTTTATGCAGGTTTAGGTAATATCAAGGCTGACAGCTCAGATTGCTTTCCCTTTCTATAAACAATGGAGACCAAATTTTCAGGCATCAGCAGTTAAGATGCACCAGTAAAAATACACATGCTTACCCAATGGACACAGGAAAGCACCTACTTCTGACTGCCAAAAGAGTCAGCGTGCAGGCCAACAGGAACTGGTGCTCTCGGTGACCAGTACGTGTGCACAATTATTGATCTCATGTGCAGCTCCGGCTCTTCAATCACCTGGCATCTGAGAGGTGGAGTTTTCACATAAAAGCCTCAGATAGTCTTTTTGGTTTTTCTTTTTTTTTAATGAGAGAATACAGCTATCTGGGCAAAAATAAATGATATTGCCTTTATTAATCATCTTGAGCATATTTAGAAAACAGTTCTCTTTACCTTACTACAAAGATAAAGCATAGCAATGGTATACTTGAAGCCATTTTGTAGTATGTATTTCCCAAATCATTCATTTCCCAAACCATTAAAAAAAAAATCCAAATTAGAGTAATTTAATCTGTTGGACTGAGTTGGTTATTGGCCTGCAGTTTCATTTGAATCAATGAAACAAGTCATTTCAATAAGAAAAACACAGATTCTAGACCCAGGCAACAGAAGAAGGGAGCGGGATGAGGAAGAAGAATTACAGTGGGGAAAAGGCAACAAAGATCATTGGTAAATAAGTATCTGGGTTGGTGATGGGGTAGGGAAACCCTCAGAAATGGTAATGGTCCCCTGAAAACAATAGTGATAGCTTCATCATGCTTGCACAAGGTGTTCTGCAAGATTCACTCCAGGCTCACATAACTGAGGGAGGAGCAAGGTGTTCATTTAGATCTGTGCCACCACATACGTGCCCATCCGGTTGCCTGCAAAGTTGTAAGGCCGTTTGTCTGAAGGAAGCCTAACCACACAGTACCATTTCTGCTTCCTCCCAGGAGCACCTAGCCTCCCATCAAAGACCAGTACCTGGTTTCTTTTAAAAGTGCACAAGCCCTGAAGGCTCCTCCCTGAGGGGAACACCCACGGAGCCCATTCTTTCCAGCTTCTAACCCTGGTGGAAGGCTACGGTGATGAACGAAAGTTGTCACAGATGCACTGTTTCTTTAGCCACCTGCGAGCTCCGCATCCCAGCCCCAGCCAGCTGGCAGTGTGCTGGGATCCCTCAGCACACCTGGTTGTAACTGAAACAAACTGGCTGCCCAATGAAGAAATCTCTGAAACCTGCTGTTAATGATTTATTTCAGGGTACGATCTTTGGTGTGCAGTTTGAAAGTTGTTTTAAAATGGTTATGTATTTCTTTCTTTTACAGGTAAAATATAAACTATGACTGAATCTTCCAGCTCTTATTCTGAGGAAGCATGAGATAAGCATTGTTCAAAAGAAATAATTTAAATTCCCACGGGAATCCTTTATCACCTAAGCCTCTCAGAAAAACTGGCAACTAAAGAACCTGTAGAGAACCAAGGGAAAGGACCCCCCTCAAAAAAAAGAAAAGCGACTTAGCATCAAATTTAACATAATTCCTTAAAATCTGACTGCAATTCTCAATTGTGTGCATGAGAAACACAAATAGTGCATTCAACACAGTTACATATTTCTGCACAGATATATTTCCAACTGTCCTGGAAGGTTTTCTCCCAGCTATTCCTAGGATGTTTGGGGTTTTATTATTATCATTTTCTCTTAAGTGTTTGATCTACAAGACGAAGCAGTTTCGAAGCAGGGCTTTTACACTTGGGCACGTGGGGCAGGATGGGAAGGAGAAAAGAGTTTTAAGAAGGAAAGCAATTTACTTTGCCAGTAGTATCCTGTTTTCTCCCATCGTTATCAAAGACACTTGTGTGTAAGTAGGGCTCTTTTCCTCTGTGCTTGTGATATTAATCTTTTGCCAAGGAAATGATTGTGAAGTCACCAGTTTAGCATTATGATTTTACTGAAAGATCAAGAAAAAGAGAGGCTGTGAGTCTGAAATCCTATTGTAACATATGGGTGTCTTTAATCATCAGCAATATATGAGTTGTCATCTGCAAAAGATTAATAAGGTTTGGGGTTTTACCAAAAACCACTTAACTCTTTTTTTAAAATTTTATTTATTTATTATTTATTTTGGGCTGCATTGGGTCTTTGTTGCTGTGCGTGGCTTTCTCTAGTGGTGAGCAGGGGCTACTCTTCGTTGCAGTGAGCAGGCTTCTTATTCAGTGGCTTCTCTTGTTGTGGAGCACGGGCTCTAGGCGTGCAAGCTTCAGTAGTTGTGGCACACAGGCTCAGTAGTCATGGCGCACAGGATTAGTTGCTCCGCGGCATGTGGGATCTTCCTGGACCAGGGCTCAAACCAGTGTCCGCTGCACTGGCAGGAGGATTCTTAACCACTCCGCCACCAGGGAAGCCCCAAAACTGTTTAACTCCTGAAAAATACTTTGTATTGGTGGATATTTACCTTTCTGTTGATTTGGCTGACTTAGAACAAATTAATAAGGATCTAAAACAAGCTTAAGGGACTCTACCATAGATTCAAGCAGTAATAGCTGCAGTCATAAATAGAGTCCAACTTGGGTAAACTCGGGGTTCTTCCTCAAAGATTATTACAAAAAGTTAAGTGATTTATTGGTCTCCCATTTGCTGCAGATGTAGAATTTTGATCTAAAGAAGGAAGAATTCCCCAAGTATTTCCAGGAGAGACTTACTTCACTGAACTACAGCTTAAACCATGCAAATCTTACCTCTTTGCACTGAATTTAAATTCCTGACAGTGTTGCCTAACAGGCTGGGGTTGGAGGGTTAGGAAGAAGCTGTCAAGCAATTACTCATAGTAGTCAGTGAAAGTGGAATAGAAGCAACATATTTTATCGCTAACTAAAAATGTGAATTAAACGAAATTAAGAAAAATTCTTTACAACTGAAAATTGTTAGGAAATTGCTACAGCCAGGGGGAAGATACATACGCCCACCAAAGTGGAGAGCCACTGCCATGAGAAGCCCGCGCACCACAACCAAGAGTAGCCCCCATTCCCGCAACTAGAGAAAGCCCATGCGCAGCAACGAAGTAAAAAAAAAAAAAAAAAAAAAAAAAAAAAAAAAAAGAAGTCACTGGACACATGGAAAAACTACAGTGTTGTATAACGAGGTGGTAGGTTCGGCTCCCAATGTGTTTATAATTCTTACCCAAATATGAGGCCTAATTCACTGCATGGTGTGAGATCCACATCACAGTGAAGAGGAAGGGGCAGGGGAGGAGGAGAAGGGAGGGTGGGGGAGGGGAGAAGGAAGGAGAAAGAGAGGAATCCTAAGTACTAGGGCAAGAATTAGAGACCCACACGCCAAAAAAAAAAAAAAAAAAAAAAAAAAAAATCCCCATATTGACAGGCAAGCAGGTTGAGTCTACTGGTTCCATCCACAGAAGCTCAGTTTATTTGTGTAAGTTGGCAGTAAAAGGGTCTACGTGTTTAGATGCTCCATCTTTACCATAAGAAAGAAGCATTCCACATACCATGTCCAACTGAGAATGTCTCTAAGATACTGAAAACATCTAATAGATTCTTTATAACACAAATCCCTTTCGTGCAATGCAGTCCAGAAAAAGGACAAACCATGTGAATTCAAAATACAGCAAGAATTTTAGAAAGAGGAGAAGCAAACCCGACAATTTTGCCATATCATGTCACCATCCAAAAGTTTAAAAGAAAAAAAAAAAAAAAAAGGTGGGAGAAGTTGCACGTAGGAGAAGAGACGACCTAAACTGAAAGAATAGAAGGTAAAAGAAGAGAAACTGATAATGAAAAATAGTGTTAAGGGTGAGAAACTAGGAAAGAAGATACAAGTGGTTACTCTAGTATGGAAACCATTAAATCAGTTTTTTTCCCTCCAGTCAAGATAAAAAGGATGAATGAGAAAATGGACAAGAGAAAACTAAAGAAAAATGTAATACAAGAGGAAAATAAATGTCTGTGTCAAACACAAATTAGAAGACAAAGAAACTGAAAGGAAAGACACCCAGAACACTTTAGCTTAGTGAGCTCTCAGTGCACTGTGGGGCAGACGTGCCCACTCTGTCCACACAGGGAACAGTCCAGCAATCACATTCTTTGGGGCCGGAACCCAATTATTTTCTACGTGGTACTTACTTCTCAAAGCATGCATGTTTACATATGCGTTAATGGAACAAATTTCCCTCTCTCTTCTCTTTAAATTTAAGAAAGAAGTGGAACAAATATCCCTCCCTCTTCTCTTTAAATTTAAGAGTTTTATTTAAGAAAGGGCCACTTTTTAATGTGAGAAATAAAAGTGGTGGAAAAAGAAGCTGAAATGGAGTAGGTCAGTCAGTGTTAGTTCTTCACCCAACTGTTAGGAAAGGACCAAAGAATAGTAACAGTCACCTAGGCCTTTAACCAAAGGGCTGAGAGCTATGCTTGGGTTAGCTTGGTATCTGTTATGAGTGTTGCCTAATTTGGGCACAGTCTGTGCATTTCATTCCTCTGGTCACTGTAGGACATCTTCCTAATGGTCTTGTCTTGACTCCTACTGGGGTTACCTCAGTGGCTGGCACAGAGAAAGGAGGAAGTATATTCTGTGAATTATAAGAATTAGTCACAAAGACATCAGAGTAGGGCCTGAAGGAAAGGTATTATCTTATGCCCCACCTTTTCTGTCCCTTTTTTATTTGATTTTCATAGAACTCAGTGTTTGAAAGTGGGTTCTGAGTGAAAAGGGAAGTAGCAGTCATACAACAGCCTTTAAGGCAGCTTAAAAAAAGAAAGAAAAAAACAACCATTAGCCTTAAGAGAGGTTTACTAAGTACTATGTACCTAAGTTACAAATTATTGTGTACCATCCAACCTCACTTTTTTGTCAAGTATCTTAGATTCCTGGGTAGATATTCACAATTTGCTTCTGTGGCAGTTATAACAAAAATCAATAAAAATTCAATTGAATCCAAAACTGAATTGAATTTAACTGCTGAGGGATCAGAGGATTTGGGTTGTTTTTTTTTTTTCTTATTTCAATATGACTCTTTGTGGTACATGTATCTATCTATCTATCTATCTATCTATCTATCTATCTACCTACCTACCTCCCCTCTATCTACTTATTTATCCAACTGAGCACCGTAAAGAGCTCTGGAGCTAACTGCCCAAATTCAAGTCTCAGTTCAATCTATGAATATCTACACAAGTGTAATTGCACTCCTTGTGCCTCCATTTTCTCAAGTGTAAAATGAGAGAGAATAACATTATCTAGTCATAAGATTATTGTGAAATTTTACCAGGGAAGTTTTTAAGAATGTTGACGTTCAGGCCTCACTCAAACCAATTAAATGAGAATCTCTGGAGGTGAGACCCAGGATCAAAAATTACCACCATCTTGCTCAGACTCAGATCTGAGAAACAAGAGTGAACTGAAAATGTGACTTGGATAAAATATAAAGCCTGCTTTTCAAGGGAGAGAGTGGTCCTCATACTTAGAAGACAGTTAACTTGCCAGCCTTATTTTAAAAAAATAAAACAGGAATTCATCAGGTGGTTAGGTTCAAACCAATCTCCTTCCCTACTTGGTAGTAAATATGCCACCTACTCCCTAAAACTCATGTGCCTGATGAAGGGGGTTAACGGTCAGGTGGAAGAATGCTGAGGGAGGCCCACGTGGCAATCCCTTTGCTATCACAGCTGCCTGATTGTGCCCCTTCTACCTCTGATATGTACTGTACAAGAGACAGCCCCCAACAAAACACTCTGTAGTATCAATGAGTTCCAGTGCCACAGACTTTATATTTCACTTATTTAAAGCAAATTATTTATTTATTTAATTTATTAAAGCAAATTAGAGCAGGACTACCTACTCTAGAATAAAATGTGCAGTTGCCCTAGTTCTAGAGAACTAGAAGAGACTACCTAATGTGCAGTTTCTCTAGAACTAGAAGGTTCTGGCTATGTCTCTGGGCTTAAGCACAAAACCCCCAAAAGTTCAAATTTCTTGATTGGGATGACAGATTAACTATATTTTTTGCCTTCTCCTCAACACACGTTCATTTTCCCCCTTAGATCCAGCACTAATTCAGTCAGAGCAGGGTGGAAGGAACTAACTAGAACATCCTTGCAAATGAGGATAGGCCTATTCCTAGGAGAAGCAGAGAAGGAATTACCTTATCACACTTTCCCTCTCTGCCCTCATACAGCCCCCACCACTGAACTTCCTCTTCCTTCTGCCGCTCTCCAACCTCCCTCCTCACATCCACCCAAGGAGAGCTGCTTCTGGGGTCTTTGTTGACCACGTTGGGATCATTACCATTAGAGGTATTATAACTGAACAATGAGTGCACAGAACTGCAGGGAGAGGGGGATTATGTAAACAGATTATGTGAGGCCATGTGATGAAATCTTCACATGCCCTAAGAATGACCCATTCCCCACTGTATTAAGTCAATTGAAGATGATTTTTCCTACCAATGATTTTGTTTAATAGTGTTGAAGCCAATGACTGACATTTAAGTGGACTTGCTAAACTCCTCAAGACTGAGATGTCATTAGGACTTGATAGAGACTTCATTGTGTTTGTCCCTTTTGTGATGGGTCACTTGGCCTTAGTTGCTATATTTAGTACAACCAGGAGTCTTGAAAGTGCTTGCAATGCAGAGTGAGCAGCATTTTGGATTTTCAGGTGCGATTAACTGACCTGAGAGCAGCTGGTTTCCACCCTGTGCATCCCATAGGAAAAGTCGTCTGTGAATGTGACTGCATCAGAACTGATCACATCGTGGAATGAAGGCCAACCTGGGACAGAGCAAGCACAAGAACCAAAACAGAGGAGAGAGAGACACATCCTTGGGTTAGACTGCAATTTTAAAAGAAATACTAAGCATAGAATGGAAATCTTTAGTATATGAATCATGCTTAACTTTTTCAACCTGAAAATAAAAAAAGGTCGAAGACTCAAGGTTAATATATTTTGCAAGAATGCAACTATTCTTTTTAAAGAATACCCTTTCCCTCACATTCAGATTACAGTTGCATTCGGATTTTATGTTTCATGAGACTCTCTTAGACCTTCCAGTAGGTTTTTTTAGCGCATCCCTGAACTTACAAAGCTCTCTGTCACCATTTCCTCTTCTCTCTCTTATCTTCAGAGTCACTGGGCATGGATGGTCCTAAAGCACTGTGAGTTCTACAGTGTGATGTTTTCCAAAACACAATCCAACTGGTCTGGCTGTTAATTTTTCAAGTATTCCATGCTTCTTTAGGAACCATGTTTTTTTAGTACTCAGTTTGGATGGTTAAAATATATATTTTTTAATTCTGTTTTTTCCATCTTAATCTAATTTCTCAGGATAGGGGTTATCTGGAAAGCATAGGTTCTATCTATTGATGGGCAAGAGGCTTGCTTACTTCATAGGAGAGTCACAGAGCAGTGTTCCTCAGGCATCTCTGGGTAGCGCCTTCTCTCAAATAGCATCTTGTTCCAATTTTCATTTAGTCTAGTGATTTTTTAAATATGCACATGGCTTTAAGAAACTCAGTGGTAAGTAGACCATAAGATTGTACACATGTTTATGGGTATACAGTCAGGTTTTATGTTCAGTACTTATGGGCATGTTTTTACATGTTTCCAGAAAATATGTCTGGAGTTACTGAGTTGAAGCCTGTATCCTCAAAATGATGAAAGAGGTGCAATGTTGCTGAATTGCTTGTGCAATTTTTTTCCTTTTTCAGAAGCCAAATTTTTCCTATAGAAAGGAGGAAGCCCTTTAAAAACTGAGTGCCTTGTGTTAATACACCTTTTGAAAGAAAACAGAATGCAAATTTCAACAATATGATTTCCAGTTTCAAACAAAACAAATTAGCTCAGGCCAAGTTTTTACACTAAACTCCCCCAGGCTCCCCTTCCCCCTCTTATGCAACAACATTGCTTTGGTAGTGCTAGATTTAACACCCAGAGTTTAAACACTTTCCAATTCTTTGATTTGACTTCGAGATTGCTACAAATCACCAGGAAAACCTTAACTCTGTCGATATAAGATAATATTCCACAAAACTTAATTATGCTAAGAAACATCAGTATCCTTAAGAAAACTTGTTTCTCCCCATTTTCTAAATTCCAAAGAGAATCTGAATATTTCCTGGCTTATAGTATTTGGTTTTTAATGATTACGTGATACATTTAGGTGCTCTTCTTTGTTCAATGACAGAAGTACCCATTGATAAAGAGAAATTTAGTGGTGATGCTTCAAGACATGGAAAAATAATTCATCTATGAAAAGAAAGAGAACATTCTGTTTCTGTTTTTGTTTTTTAAACCTCCCATGTCTTAACTCATTTGATTACAGTTTATAGCAACTAATATTATGACGGGACATATTTGATTCAGTAGTAAACAGGTAAAGAGTTAGGAGTTTTTGTTTTTATTTTAAGTTTACCATAAAGCTACCTCCCTCCCTCCACCACATCCACATTTTCCTATTTCTAGAATTTAAAATAGGTATGGAGAAATATATATGTATTTCCCATGCTACCTCTGCATCTTAGGTATACTTACCTTGTTCTATTCATCACACTAGATTTGTGATTTGTTTTCATGCTTTCTCCCTGCTTAGCTGGTGAGGATTTTGAAAGCACTGACCTGAGTATACTCACAGCCTACCATGGTGTACAGCACAAAGGCACAGCTGAAATGTTTATTAAACGGATTTTCAACTAACCTTAAATAAGAAAGTGGGATGAATAATTACAGTACACCACAGAGTCCCATAGAAGAAGGAAAGAATATAATCATACTCCTCCTTTACAAGACCAGATTAAGGAATATCAATGCTACTTCCTCACTGGACTTTCCGTTTTGGCTCATTTACTATAATTAAGCCTCTCTATGTAGGTGAAATAACCTTATTATTTATTTGAGGTAGTAAAAACACATGACGATCATCTAGGTCACTCACTTTACCGGGGATTTTGGGGAGAGGGATGGGGGAGCAGAAGGACAAGTTACTTGCCAATGTTAGGCAGGAAGTGGCAGAGCCAAAACTAGAATCTGAGTATTCTTAGTCTAGGGCTCTCTTCTTATGTTCCACTTTTTTCCTCAGTGAAAGGCTGAGAGGTCAATCATTTGAACACTCTGGCAGGAAGGAAGCTGAAGGTTTTAAGAAATATGTTTACCACCGGTCTGGATTAGTTGATAGATACACTGTTGCACTTAAGAGCTTCTAGGTGGAAACCAATAATGAATGTACCCAACAACACCTATTCTCTCACTTCTAAAGACCAAACTGTTCAAAGCAAAGTCCAAGAGTAATGATATAAATCATGTAATGTAATGTAGCTTGGAATATAGATAAGTGTTTTATTCATTTATCTAAAACAGCCAGGAAGACTTAGAAGCACACCCTTAGGCAAGAATATTGAGAAAACTGTCAATTCTATTTGGGGTTTCTTAATTCTAATTCCTTCCTAATAATTGTGAATCACTGCCTACTAAAGATTTTGGGGAGGGAAAGGAACTGCTTTCAAGTGAGCGATGAAACCATACAGCTATACATTTTGCCTCCATGAATTAAATATTTATAGAATTTTCAGGAAGACCACATTCAAGAGTTGAGCAGGGTGATGTGGAGTGACATGGAGTAAAGGTTCTCAAAAGATTTCAATGTTTCTGAGAAAACTGTTGACACCTGAATAGTTTACTTGTTGTTTACCATGGTGCTATTTAAACACTGGAAGAGGGCTTCCTTGGTAGCGCAGTGGTTGAGAGTCCGCCTGCCGATGCAGGGGACACGGGTTCGTGCCCCGGTCCGGGAAGATCCCACATGCCGCGCAGTGGCTGGGCCCATGAGCCATGGCCGCTGAGCCTGCGCGTCCGGAGCCTGTGCTCCGCAATGGGAGAGGCCACAACAGTGAGAGGCCCGCGTACCACAAAAAAAACATGGGAAGAGACACCAAACATCCCAAAATTCATAGTGTCCCTTTGCACTGTAGAAGGAATACAGTTTTCAAGATGGAATATTGGATATGTCACCCACGTCTTAATTGGTGGGAGATTGACAAGGAGAGCCATGTTGAAGTCTATAACCTCCTGTATGGAACACATTTCAAAAGAGAATCACGGTCAACTTCATCAATAAGGTTAACAAAAGAGAATGTTGAGTTCTTTTGCTACATCTCTCAGAAAAAGAGAAGCTCTATAGAAAGAGAACCCATCGGAAAGGTAAGTCCTATTGGCAATCAAACTAAGAAGGACCTTTACCCAAGAATAAATTGTCTTATGACAGAGAAGCCACAGTGATGACAGCACTTTGAGAGCGGAATTCCCTCATCATGTGAAAGTATTTAAAGGAGGAACTCTTCACTGCTGTAAAAATCCTCAAAGGAAACCCTGCCCCCACTCCTAATAATAAGGAAAGTGCTTCAAAGGGTGATAGGCATAGACTTGAAGCAATCTGGGTCTTGTTGAGAAAATTATCTTGAGCAAAGTGGGGGGGAGGGGATGTGTTTTTGTCAGTTTTGACATTAAAGAAAGATCATCCATCCTCCTTTCTCTAGGATTTCCCTTTTGGTCTTCTCATCTAACAAAACAGTATTTGTTTTGGATGTATTCCATACACTTTTTAAAAGAAAAGTCATGTGAAAACCTGTATAAACAGCGTTGACTCATCCTACCCCCAGTACATCCCTTTGCTTCTATTTGAAGAGGCTGGATATGGGCTGATTATCATTCTATTTCCAAGAACATAAACTGTACCTTTTAGATATTAGTCTATTATTATCAAGAATATCTTATATTCTATAATTTTGTTATTTCACATGCAGAACTATAACAACACAAACTAGAGAAGATGACACAATGTACAAGAAAGCAAGTAATTTACTATCTAATTAAAACATTTAATTCTAATATTAGCAGAGTTCTCTAGAAAATGTTATCTTTCTCAATGCTTTTTTGTCTCCTTTTTCCAAAAACTTCCCTCAACTCTGGAGGGTGGCTGTTAAAGAATATTTTTGAATTTAAGAGCTTAGTTTAAGAGCTTAGCTTAGTTTAAAAACAAATAAAATATTATCTTTTTTTCAACCAGAACTTGAAATCTGAATCTAATAGTTCTTGATACTATTATGATCCCCTTGGCACCACTGGACAATATCCTGTTTAGGGACCTTGGCTACAACTACTACATAAACATAGTGATATATAATTTATCTATTTTAATACTAAGTTTCTCTTTTTTCTATTAATTTAAAGGCACACAATTGAAGAACCATTTTCACAGGTTAATACATCTTGTCTCTGCTTTAAATTTTAAACTCATTTTTTCACCTTATAAAGATGGAAGGAGTAGATGAGTTATTGTGTAGTTAGATTGTAATATTGGCTTGTTATATATAGTTTTCTTTGCCACATTTCCTTGACTTTCAGGTAAGCAATGAATGAGTTCATTTGTTTATTGCACACCTGATTTCGATAAGAGTTTTGTATTTTTAGCTTTTAGGTTGGCATTAGTCATCGCATATATATATGCAGAAATATGATCTAAACTTTTTACAACTCTTAAATTTGAAAAAAATATAATTGTGTGAGATTTTATTTACTCAGACCAGTTTTTGTATACATTGTATTAAACCACCAAATGTATTTGAATGCTTGACAATGGAGAAATAGGCTTCCAGTATCGTCTGGAAGTGTTATAATGATTATAACTCTTACTGAGCTCATGAACCTAAAATTAGAGAATCTTAAGAATCCTAGGAGTTGGAAGGGAATGTAGAAATCATCTGGCCTGATGTAAAGTCCC